GTAAGCAAGATATGAATAAATGGTCAGTTAAGGTCGGGCCAGCATTGGCATAAGATGTCGCGATGCAAACATTCGAATTTCCTAAGCCTTAAGCTAAGAGTAGCTATTAAAAGCGGTTGCGGAGGTTTTTTAGGCGGTTTTAAATGTATTTTGTATGAGTTGTTTTTAATTGCAAGAGTTACCTACCCTACGGACCCCCAACCAAACCACCTCGTGCTACCCTGGACGGCGGCCAACGATCGGTCAGTGGCCGCCCATTCCAACCAGAAAGTGCAGCGTCAACAACAAGCAGGATGTAGCTCTGTCGCAACATCGGTTGCCGACACCAAAGACCTACACACATACACATATACTTACACTTAGAATTACGAACATTTGTATTCAGCTGAATAAGACATTTTCGTGCAGCGAGGGTATACATAAACCCAAGCTGAGTAATAAACTTTACTCTTGATTTCAAACTCAAACGGAGCAGCAGCATTCTTTATTTCTACTGGAACCAACCAAATACTTAACATTAACGCTCACCACTATTTAACTCGACCGAGCTGGAGGAGTGCACCATTTCCTTTGACTGCAATGATTTGATGTCATCCCATAAATGTGAGCGCTGGACAGGATTAAGCAACAGCACAGTACCGCCTTGAAGGTCAGACACCGTGAGCGTAGGGCGACGGATGCGATTACTAAACTTATAGACGTATCCGAGAATTCTTTGAAGGGCAGCAAAGGAATTGCCAAATTTTGAACTGGCCACTATGTCTTCGTATGGAGAATTAGTAGAATCCTTTGGCGAACCTCAAGCGTTGACTTTTCAGCAGTGATTGGGGTCGGCCAGTCAGCTTTGGGGTCACAGAGGAATTTTGGTCCATGAGCCCAGAGAGGAGACCTCTTGAGCTCAGCAGGAAAAGCACTTTGGGAGAGAATGTCAGCTGGATTTAAAGAAGTTGGAACATATCGCCACTCCACTGACTCAGTTAGCTCTTGAATGGCAGCTACTCGGTTCACTACAAAAATATTGAATCTGGGCCGCTCGGTTTTTTACTAAAACACTAGCCGTTGCTAAGAGCACAATATCATTACTAAACTCCTGTGCAATAAGAGCAGTCGAAGTGGAAGGCAGTGCAGAGGGTGAGGCAGAGGGAAGTGCTCCTTGAAGCTGTGGCTGCATCGCTGCTCCAGAAATGATGCCATTGACTCCCATGTAGGAATTAAATTGAAGAAGGCAGGGTCCTCTAAACGCTCTTCCCACTTTGCCTGACTTGCCGGATTCAACTTTTGGAACAGGACTTGGACGATAATGCATCCTACGATTTTTTCCGTCGTGCCCAGTCCTTTGAGAGCGCGAATATGAGCGTTGAATTTATCGGACAGCTCCCGAAGTGTCGAGGCGGAACCACTCTGCACCGCCTTTAGTCCCAGGATCTTAGTAATGTGTGCCTGAAAAACCAAACGTCGATTATCAAATCTATTTTGCAGCAAGTCCAAAGCAACTGCGTAGTTGCCATCCGAAATTTCCAATGAGCGAATAGTTTCCAACGCTACGTCCCTCAGGCATGATCGTAGATGCTGCAACTTTTCTACGTTGGTGAGGTCCGGATTACTATCTATGATCGTGGTAAACATAAAATAAAAGTCAGACCAATTTGCATAACCTCCAGCGAATTTCGGAAGCTCCAGTGGGGCAGCAATGCTGCCCCATGTCGAGGCTGACGCTGCTGGGGCCGAAAACTCCCGGAGTGAGGCCGTCAGCAAAAGTTGAGTGCAAAAGAAGCTGTGAGGCGCGCTTTGAAATTTCGGATCGAACCGATGACTTCAGAATTACGAGAATGTCATCAAATTTCTCACTTAAATCACTTTCAATTTCCTCGAAATCCAATTCTTCGAGCTCACTGAAAACCTTTTTAAATGACTCTTGAAGCTCATCAATCAACTCCAACCTCACATGAAGACCGGATTCGTCGCATGAAGTTAACGCCGTACTTGATAGGGAATGCACTAAACGCTCCACTCTATTAAATAAAGCCGTCTCCTTGCGCTTTCAAAATATTGCCCTGTTTGCATCAGCGGTAACATCTCCAAAAATTCCCGTAGGCATGGCTACAACAACAAAAAATTCGGCTCCAGCGAGAAGATAAGCGCAAAACAAACGAGGGAGTAACAGCCCGTTACTTGGCTATGTACGCTTCTATGTACATATCAAACAAAAACACCTCTTAACGAGGTAAAAAGTAGTGGCGAATGCGCTCTTAACTAAAATTTCTAATATCAACAATTGTGACGAAAAATGATTATACATTCGATAAAATAAATAAACTATATTAAATTTATGATTTCGGCCCGCAACAGTAAATATTTATTTACCTACACGTACACTTTCATGTTCCACTTTGGCTTAACTTTATTCTAATAAGGTATGGGTTGTTTACACTCACATTTTAATATGAATGAAACATATAATATGAATATTAAACTTTTTAATAACAAGTTTTATCGCTTCAATTACCTATTTTAATAGCACAAGTTTGGAATCTCAAGGGTTGTATAGTTTCAAATTCCAAGAGAAATCTGTCGTTTCTTACATTTCCCGCTGAACTAGCGAGTTTTTCCAAGGTGGTAGAACAAATTGATCAAGTTTCCTATTTCGATTAGCTTCATGCAAGCAAAGGACCCTAAAACCATAACAGATTTTCCGTTTGAAAAAATCTAATAAGAATATATTTTATCAAGTTGGTTTTTTTCTTGTTTATTCCAATAAGTATGAAATATTACGTATACGGAGCTGAAACCAGTTGCACTTTTTATCGCTTAATATCTTCCAAACGGTAATTTTTAGGGCAAAAAGTGTTATATATCAAAAGTTGAGGAATTTTAAGGGCTATATGATTTAAAAGTTAAAAAGAAATCGTTCGACTCAATTTTACGAAAATAGTCAAAAAGTGGTTTTAAAAAATAACTTTGTATCATAACTCTAAATCTATTATATTCATACAACTTTACAATATGAAGAGTATTTAGCAAATGAAATGATCTTTTCAGAAATATATAGCACGTTTCCGTAGCATTAGTTGTTTAGCTACTATAAGCATTTTAAATCTGCCTTTTTTTTTATTTTCTGCTAAACTAGCGGGTTTATCCAAAAGTCGTAAAACAAACGTTTCCTATTTCAAGCTACTTTATACACCCATAGGGTTTTCGAAACCCCAAAACTAAGATGAGATGCATACAAACCCACAAACAAAGGGACAAACATTTTCACTTTGGGAAGAAGAAGAAAATCTTGTTTTTTGAATTACTTTTGAACGGAACATCGGATTTCAACAAATGAGGTGTCATTCGACGCGTATTCTCAGTAAAAATAAATCTAGCTAAATAGCCGGGGGCTTTTATCCCCACCGTATCCAGCAGCTCCAATTTTCTAAATTTGTACTTTTACATTTTCACCGCTTTTTCTCCCAAACAGATTTATATTTCGAAAATCTTGGTATACAATCTTTTTAGTTAGTGCGATACCTTTCGATTGCTGTATCACTCGTTATGATCGGACCATAGTTGCAGATTTTCAATTCTGCGGCTATATATATTAGTTGTCTTCGCACGCTCTCTTGCGCGCTTCGCCACTACGTGTACTGCCGTCCACAGTGATAGTAGTCTGCCGCATTCGCACACTCTCCTGGTACGTGGACTACCGTCCACAGCGATGTTAATAAAACGTAGTTATACCCTTCAAAAATAAAACTTTAAAAGGGTATATTGTATTCGTCCAGGTAGAAGAAAGCGTTTCTGACTTTTAAAGTGTACTATACTCAGGATATGGATGATGGTGTGGCACACCATATATAAATGCCATTGAATTTTGTTTTTATTTTAAATTTGAAACACTATAGCTTTTCTTCTTGTTGTAGTTACACTTTTTAAAGAGTTTATATTCCTGACATATTTTCTATATTTTTTTTGCTAAAAAGGTAATTTTATTAAACAATACAACTCTAAAAAATGATGTTACTCTGATCTCCGCCTGCAGTACAGCTCGCATGCACATGCGATCAAAAAGGGAAAATTAATTCATTAAAAACAAGGAAGAACGCTATTGTCGAGTACCTCGACTGTCAGATACCCGTTACTCAGCTTAAGGGACCAAAGAGAAATGGATATATGCTAGCAGAAAAGCGAGATTGAAATGCGCCACCTACCCACGATTTCAATATATGGTTATGTGGGCGGTAGACTGATTTAAGCGTTATGAGCGTTAAAATAGGCGTGGCAAATCGGCAATAGGGTCAATCAATCAAGACTAATACATTTCAGTTAAATTTTTTTCTTGCATGAAAAGTGTGGGCGCCACAGGCTCTGGCGGTTTGTGGGCGTAAAAGTGGGCGTGGCAAACTTTTTTTGTATCAACCGATAGGTATAGACAAGACTGATACATTTTAGTTAAAATTTTTTATATAGCATACAAATTGTGGGCGCCACAGGTTTAAGCAGTTTGTGGGCGTTCGAGTGGGCGTGGCATATTCACGTGACAAATTTGAGCTGCGTACAAGGCTCCGGAATCTAAATCTGAAATCCTAATTCTCCATCTTTGATTGTTTCCAAGATATCAACGTTAATATTTGCGATTTTTTGAAGTTTGTGGGTGGTTTGTGGGCGTTTAAGTGGGCGTGGCAATTTTTGTTGAGTCACTTTTTTGATGAGAACAATACATTTTAGTTAAAATTTTTGTTCTAGCATCAAAACTGCATCTAACTGCGTTACAGTGGGCGTGGCACCCTGCTGAAACAAACTTGCGCTGCGTAAGAAGCTCATGAATCTGCATAAAACTTAACTGAAATGTATTGGTCTCGTCAATGCCTATAGATTGATACAAAAAAATTTCCACGCCCACTCTAACGCCCATAACGCTTAAATCTGTCTACCGCCCACATAACCATAAATTAAAATCATAGGTAGGTGGCGCATTTCAATCTCGCTTTGCTGCTTACATATCTCAATTTCCCTTTGGTCCCTTTAGCTGAGTAATGGGTATCTGATAGTCGAGGTACTCGACTATAGCGTTCTTCCTTGCTTAAAACTTTTTAATTAAAATGGCAAGCACTCAGCCCTATACGCATTTTATCGGTGCTGACCACGTTATGTTTCCATTCTACTCTCGTCGCACATTCCTCTCGTGGCCAGCCATCACTTATTTTCCAGCCGCTAATGTGTTAATGGCTGCCTCCTGAGATCCATTTGCTGACCATTTTGATTGCAATTTGCGTCGGGGGTCTTCAGGTAGTCTTCGTCATCCCAGAGCTGCAGGTCAGTGGTGCCCCAAATAAGGTATACCAGGTTGCCGAAGAAAAAAACAACGGCAGTCATGGCAAACACGATCTGCCACTGACTCCTCGAACCCTGAGTAAATAAAGGGAAGTGTAAGTAAATATATAAAATTCTTGCCAAAAACATTGTACATGAAAAAACGAGCTTTAGATCACGTAAAACTCGCAGGGTAGCCGGCGTAGCTGTCGTATATCTATGAGCAAGTATATTATTACTAAATACAAGTTATTGCATTTCAAACTGACAAGAACAAGAGTTTTTTCTCGGACAACAACTTTATGATAATCCCAGAGTGAAAGAGAGAGCCATTTATCTACATAGGTAAATTGGAAGCGATTGGGGAGCACCAATATATCTAAGCAAGTCAGTTAACAGTTATTAAGATCAAATGGCTGTGCGTTGATACCTAGATTTTTGAAGTTAGCTTTATATATATGTATAGATCAGTGGTCGGCACACACATATCATCACAAGTTTGCCTTGCATTAGTGTGAGTGTAACAAACACGAAGTTTGCGCGCGGCGTGCTGTAGCGAGACGTTTCTCTGCTTTGCACTGAGATCCTCTGCCACAGCAACAAAAAAGCGCGCCGAAGTTGAGAAAAAATGACCCGAAGACCCATGCCGAAGTCACACGAACATGTACCGTTATACGTGAGCGAGCAGAGGATGGGCAGAACACTTCCCTATGCTCACTAGATAGGCCGCTGCCGACCACTGGTATAGATGAACTGCCCCTTGACTTGTCGGATAGCAAAATTGGATTTTCATAAGTTGAAAATTTAGCTAAATACTCAAAATTGCGATAATGTTGCATCGGTGTCCAAGTATTTTAAACGATGTCTTAAAATAAATGTTAGAAACGCAAAGAATACTTTGTTTAAGCAAAATCAAAAACCAAAATTTCATCGACCTTGGATAATCAAATACGTGTGTGTAATTATGTGTGGGCTTGCATGTATGGGACTTTCTACATCAACCCGGCCACCTCCTGTTTTGGTTATATCCGTTACTCTTACTAGAGTAAAAGGGTATACTAGATTCGTTGGAAAGAATGTAACAGGTAGAAGCGTTATATAAGTTAACACAATTAAGGGGTAACTTATAAGTCGGTAAAAACCTTGTGTGAATCTTGGATCACCCTAGTGATTTGATGTGCATACTCAGCAGTGACGCTTTTAGGGGCCCTGCTTGGCCCGTGGCATGGTAAGTTATGCTTTTCTTGCTAGTGTCAGCAAATTTTGTTCTGACAAGCGGTCGCCTTGCCGGCCACGATTAGCTGGGGTATGACTTAAAATTTCAGTTTAATTTTTATATTAATAAAGAGCGCATCGATCCATTGAGTTGACTCCAGCAAAAGCGGTATTATTATTAAATTGGCTATCGAGCCTTAAGGGCCGTTAGCGGATTGATATGGAACGTCCTATATTTCAATTGTTTGTGCTTACTTGTTTTTGTATCATAATGTAATTAATATTTAGCATAAGGCTAAGTATGCAACAATATACTTATACCAAAACTTAGAAAGTAAAGTAAACAATTTTATACTTCGCGGTCCTAACATTTAGGGCTAGTTCTTTTTTTTTTAGTTGGCACGGTTAATGACATCTGGGCCAAATTTTATGTCAATGTCATCAATAACTTTTTGGATTTTTCGAGTGTGTTAGGGCGGGGTGGCTTGATCGCTGAAAATAGCTGAAGTCCCCAGAACAAATGGTAGGCAAAAAACACGGGGGTACTTTGGGGGTTTTACGCGACGTGCTTAGATGTTTATTGGTTCACTTGGAAATAAGAACTAGTTAAGCATAACTTAACTTAAGCGCTCCAGAGCGGTGCTGAGACTTAGGGGAGAGATGGAGAGGGAGAGCGGACAAAGTGCGAGAGAGAGCGACAAAGTCGTTCAAAAATCAATATCATATTGACAGTTTTTTTTAATTTTCGTAGTGTGGTGCACTTTGAATTCCTTACACCCAGCAAAACTGTTAATAAAGAATATTATTTGAGCGTTATGCGTCAAACTCAAAAGGTTGTAATGACACCATTCCTGGAATTTGTTTATATCTGACAGCAACCAAAACCAGAAACCGATAGAGGAAAGATCATTTATAAACAGAGTAAACAGAAAGGGGCCTAAATGACTACCCTGAGGCACTCCACATGTTACATAGATCATCTTGGAACAGCGTTTTTAAACATAACCCTCTAAGATCTCCTAATCAAATAACTTGAAAGCCAAGTAAACAGATTTATCTGAAGCCCGAACAGATCTAACTAGAATAAAAGAAGAAAGTCAAGTGCTTTGCTATAGTATGTATATATAACGTATGCAATTTTTGCTAAATCTATCTATTACAAAAGATGTCGGTTCGAGCAGGTTAGAGGCAGCGGATATTCGGTTAACAAAACCATGTTGACACGTTGATATCAGAGACAAGCACAAATGCTGCAAATAAGACGTAATAATGTGTTCAAATGTTTTAGGAATTGCGGACAATTTAGAAACATCTCCATAGTTCTGGACATCCCTTTAGGTGGAGTGAAATAATAAAATAATCTTTTTATATAGTAGGAAAATCAGATGATGATATAGATAAATAAAAAAGTTTAAGTATCGGTTTTCAAATGGTTCGGGCACAAATCTTAAGCACACACCCAGGGAGTCCATCTGGCCCAGGAGAATAGGTAGGCGTTGTAGTTTCTAAATCACCTAAGACAGAACTTACGGTAATTTCAGGAGGAAAAGTACAGTTTCACTTAAGTGATTATGGTAGTTAGAATTAGACTCAGAAGCCTAACTATTACTAGTTTTGAAGAACTCCACAAATAAGTCCGCAATTTTGTAGTCCGTAGATATCTCAATTGAGTTGAAACGTGCAGATATAGGCAATGCCGAAGACTTTCGCTTAGCATTAACAAAGTAAAAAGACTGCCTCGGAAAATTCAAATTTACATCGGTTAAAATAATTGGAATAGCAAGGACTGTTGAGAAAATAAAACTGGTACGAGCTTAAAGTTTTCTAAGTCTTTGCAGCGCATTGGTAAACCAATGATGCCTGTTTAGCCTTTCGAGAAAGACCATCAGGAACGCATTCATTAAAAAAAGAGTTTAGGACACTATAAAATAGTTCAGTAGCTCTTTCAATATCCATGCAATTATATTAATTTAACCAATTATATTGGAAAATATTATACGCTTGGCCCTCGCTTTACACGGGGTTACGATCCTAGAAATCCTTGTGGTAAGCGAAATCTTGTTAAGCGAAACATGGATTCAGTACAAAACAAGGTGTTACGTTCCCAAAATTCAGAAATGGCAGCAAAAAAAAATTATGTATTGTTCAAACTTGGTCTCTTTTTATTAAAATTTCATACATTTGTTCAAAATTAACCAAAAGTTATTATGTATACATTCATATTTTAAAATTTAAAGTTGGTATTAAATTAAAAGTTAATTAACAAGTTAAACTTGATAGAAATTTAAAAATGTTAAAAAGTAAGGAGGTCATATGTTTCTGTTCTTATCAAATTTGAAATGCATTTGGTGGCATTGATAGTTTAAGCCAGTTTGTTTCAACATGTTTTCTTTTTTGGTGGCTCCTTATCAAAAAAGTCAGACATTTTCGATTGTTTGGTGGCTTTTAAAGCTTCTTTATAGCACTCCTTATAAGGCAATAGTATTTTTTACAACACTCTCTTAAACTTAAGTCGTCGTTCGATGACCGATGACAAAAAGCACGATTCCAAGCTGCTAGCATATTCGAATACTTCTATAGCTTTTCTATCTTTAAACTAATCGGATCGGTTTCTTCGTCATCTGATTTCAAGCAAGGATTCGTCATTAATTTCTTCATCTTCACACAACTCTTGCAAATCACAAATTGCCATGTCGTCGAAACCTTCACCTTCAATCAAGTGAGCAAGGTCCAACAAATCCTGGAATCCACGTTTTGACACTTCCATTTCACAGCTTTTAACAACCTCTGGCCATAATTCCTCCAGCATCTATTTAATGTTGACACCTTTATCTCTTTTCAAGATAAGTTTACCAACTCAAGGCTATCTTTGTTCAGGCCCACTGTCCGGCGAACCTGGAGCGGCCCCGCTATCTAACTGCACCGCTCTCTCGCTCTCTCGCGCTCCCGCTCTCCCGCTCTGTTCCCAGCTCCCCTCCGTGAAGTCTCCGCTGCGCTTTGGAGCGCGGAACAGAGCTTAGACTTAGGCAGTTAAATTTTGGCATTCATATTAAATAAACTGCGGTCGCCCCGCCTAATTAGTACAGTGAACCTTTTGCGTAATTACTTCGGTAATTCGGTCAAGGGGGAATTCGCGTTTCGAGTGGTTTACTCCCCTACAGCTTAGACGCTTTCCGCCGCACCAGCAGCAAACCGCCGAGGCCCAGCGCATCAGCCCGCCGACGCCGCCAGTTCCCGGCGTCGCCTCCCACGCCATTCTGCCAGCGCCACCGGTACCCCGCTACCCCCCGGCGTACATTTTGGTCCTTCGAGCCGGATAAGATAAGTAAAGCTTTTTCGCCTTATTAATTTCCGGTCTGTACGTTTGACTTTCTGTACGATTTGTCCAAAATCCAAGTCCGATTAAATCCGACCATGGCAATTAATAAATTTCTTCGCCATTTTTTTAATTGCATTTGGCCGCTCATCCATACATACATACACATATATAATATCGGGAAAAAAAATCCAAGCTTAGAAAATTTTTTTTGCAAATATAAGCCAAGCGTACAATGAGAATTATTTAATTTCCTGTGTTCTGCCAATTCAGGCCCCCAAAACTTTCCAAGATTTTCTCACAGTATATCCGCAGCCGCTAAAATACTTGCACATATTTTTTCGTTTTTCCAAATGCAGTCCACATACAAATAATTCGAAAACGTCTACCACAACACATACCCCGCCGGCAATAATTATTTAATAAATTTAAAACCTGCGAACATTACATACATACAAATCCACATCTACATACATACAAATATCTACCCTTCAGTTCCAAAAAAAAAGTTTCACTTGTGAATCACCTTGTGAATCCCGTGGGACATGTCATCTTGCACAAGTGA